TACTATTCTAAATAATAATATTAATAATAATATTGATTTTGTTATATTTGGTTTTCCTTCCCCTCTCTCTCTTTTCCCTTCCCCTCCGAACACTCTATTGATGTCAGAGATCGACACTCGATCCCGGCATTGCTCCCTGTCCCGCTGAGCTGATCCGCGCTCGGACGAGGTCCGATTCGATGAATCTGACTTCGAAGACCTCTCTGATCATTTACCCTTCCGTTGAAGCTGCCAAATAATAATATTCTAAATAATATTATTAATAATAATATTGATTTTGTTATGATTGGTTTTCGCCTCTTTTTTTTTTTTTTTTTAAATTCTCCCCACGTTTTCTTCTATAATCCTTCTATGTTCCAAGTTTTTCCTCCCTTCGTCACCCTTCTCCTTCTTCCCTCTCCCTCTCTCTACCCCTCCCTCTTCCCCTTTTCCTTTTTTCCTTTTACTCCCTTCTTTTCCGTCGTTCTCCCCCTTCCTCTCTCCCGCCCTCTCCCTCCTTTTCTTGTCCGTATCCAAACCCCTGCTCTGGTCGAGCGCCCGATATTCCAAGCCGGCGCTATATTCCCGTGTGGGGAACTCCCTCTCTCCCTCTCCATCTCTCTCTCTCTCTCTCTCTCTCTCTCTCTCTCTCTCTCTCTCTCTCTCTCTCTCTCTCTCGCACTGACCCCTCCGCCCTAACTACGTTGCAGAGACAGCCGTGAGCGGGCCAGGCGCTTCGACCTGGCCCGCTTAATCGCGCGAACTTGATGTACTTGGTGGCGCGATGGTGAAGTGGCACGATAGCGCGATGGCGCAGTGATTTGGTCAACACATTGGCACGGTAGCGCTCTGGAGCGAGGGCGATGGCGCAATGGCGTGGTGTCGCGATGGCGCGACGGTGATGGCGAAGCGCTAACCCAACGGCGCTGGCAGTCGATGCTCCTGATTCTATGGGTCCAGCCTCATTGGTTTGCTTTGATTGCTTTGAATGGTTGATTGCTTTGATTCGATTGGTCGACTGCCTGCCTGCCTGCCTGCCTGCCTGCCTGACTGACTGATTGTTTGATTGATTGATTGCATTCTACACGGACCTGGCCATTACATGGCCATTGTACATTCCTCTGACCACTGGGAGCTGTGGGACAACAACACCATGGTCCATGCCATGACTGATGTTTCTGATTTCTTACATAACGATGCTGTTTTTTTGCCACACAAAACTGGCCGCATGTCGAAGACCATTTCTCTGCCCCTGTGCCACAGCAGGACAATGTATCAACACTATGCGTCGTATGCGACCTTCTTCTTTGCACAGCTACAAACACTTAGCTACAGCCGTCATCGTCTCTGTACCTTCTCCACCAACGTGATAATTGGGTACCTAGGAAGAAGAATCCAGAATCGACAATATGTGATACCTTCATCTTTTCTTGTTTAGCTATCGTCCGAGCGTACACAGAAAGGTTGATATAAGATCGCATATCTCAATAGCCTTGATCTTAGGGCCGGTACTGCCTATCACAAAGTCAACTGCGTGGCTGTTTTGTTATATGAACCTCAACAAATTCAATTTCCACATGGATCTTTTAACAAATTCAATTTCCATACCATATAGATCTAGATGTTTTGAATTAAAGGCAACCAACCGTCAGGTCAGGCAGCCAATAAGACACTAACCCCACCCCCCCATCAGTGGGGACGCGTGGATGAGCGCATACATAAATAAAATAAGCTGCTTGTTTTGTTGTGGCGGCTGCGTTGACTCTTTTGGGTGAGTTGCATTCTTAGCTCAGCTGGATAGAGGAACAACCTTCTAAGTTCAAGGTCACAGGTTCAAATCCTGTAGGATGCGTAATTCTTCGGGAGAGTGGCCGAGTGGTTAAAAGCGACAGACTGTAAATYTGTTGAAGGTTATATTTCTACGTAGGTTCGAATCCTGCCTCTCCCACTTCGCGGCCTTCATACATTCATGAATTACATGTAACGTACTTGTGGGGGCAAAAGTCTAGGATGGATCTATTCTATTATTATCTGATGGTAATTCCCTATGTCTACTCTTTGTTGCTAATTTCATTTTGTATGATATTAATAAAATGACATGGTTTCCTCATCAATGGGTGCAGAGGACTGTCCCTCCATTTATGACCACATGCACCATCCGCATACGAAGACTATATGTCCATCTTGCGGCCATGGGCTTTATACTGAATGTATGTTCTTTTGTGGTGCCCCATATTTGCATTGCATGAAAAGCCATGATATCACACACTGTCATGTTCAATTGTGTTCATACATTCCTAGCAATATGCACCCACCGGAATTCTGAGGAATGATGGCCAAAACTGATCAATGCAAGTGAAAGTGGGCCACAACACAGACAATATTGCATCAAAGTTATGATCAAACTTTAAACTTCTCTTCCTGTTGCTCATTCAACACCACCTAAAACAGGGCATGCAATGTATTTGGAACATGAATGTAATCCAAATCAGGGCTGGTCCCTGGTTGGACCGGGGGCCCCTCCCCCGCCCGGGAGCCTGCCGGTAGGACCAGCCGGTCGACCGGCCCGGCAGACCCCCGGTCGAATCCAGCGCATTAGGCTGGACAAGGGTACCAGGCAGTGACAGGCGTCCCCACGACTTGCCAGCCCCCACGAAGCCGCGCCCGCCGAAAAAAAAAATTTGGGGTTTTTTGGGCCCCACTTCTAGAAAACGAGCGGAGGATCTCCGACACTTATCTTTGTAGATCAGCGGCGGACAACCGCCGCACGCGTTTTCGCAAAATTGGGGGCCCACCACGCCCCATATTTCGATTTGGCGTAGTGTGGTCCGACAGACCGCGGACCAGTTGTCATTGGCATGACATACGCGTCCATCCTCAGCCATGAGGGAATTACTACGCAAGAGCATCTCCTGAGGTTACATGCTTCTGCAACATCACTAATCTCTGGGGAAAGAGTTATGGGTTTGGGTTTCAGCTCTGTCTGAGGTGCAAGCCCAAGAATGGACCTAAGCTATATTTTTCTCTCAATCTATCTAGAATGCACCTGGCTCCACTACATGTATCTGGACAGACTAGCAGGCGAGATACTTCCGGACTGAGGACACTGATGACCCAGCGTATTAAAAAAAAAAAAAAACAGAAAACGCTCTGCTTGAACGAGCTGAAACCTGCACCCATAACTTTTCTGCCGTCGAGCTATACTCTGGAAAAGCTATAAATTTTGGCAAGGATCCACTCCTATCATGTCTCGTTCAGGCTGCAGGATTCCGATGGCCGTTGGCATAGTCCACAGTGCCCTCTGCTACTGAATTGAAGTTCTTGGGCCATGGGGGGTCGGATAAGTAACATTGCTTACTCGTCCCCTCCCCCTGAAAGTGACACCTCCGTGAATATTTCAATAATATCCCCACCTCCCCCTGGGGCACCCCCCCCCAAAAAAAAATTGGACCTCCAAAATTTTATTACGGATTTCGACAGCTCTTGAAGAGCGCAGTCAGAATCCGCCAAAAAAAAAAAAAAAAAAAAAAAAGAGAGTTGAAGAGTTCGGCTTTATTTTTTGAAAACCGGTTTCCCGGTTCACCCCTCTGGGGCTGGTCCGGCTCCGGTTCGACCGGGCAAGCTGAACCGGCCGGTTGCCGGCCAGCCCTGATCCAAATACGTCATCAAATGTGGGTACATGATTTTTTCGTAATCTGATATCATCACTCCTTAAGGAGTAGTCGCATCTCATCAGAGTGCCATCCTGAGTGACACTCTCAAATTCGACTTAAATTTGAGCTGCGGCTATGAGCTTGTACAAGATTCATGATTTTTCATCATGACATATTATTCATAATTCTTCAAAATCACTAAATGGGTGCCTCTTGTCAAACAACCTGCATTAAACTCTTGCACGGCAGCAGCATAAAAAGAGGAAAAATTATTAGCCAATGAATGGAGATCGAAGAACTTGCTCATCACTTGCACACTCACCTATGTTGTTCGCCAAGTTTGCATTTACTATTTCAACGAATCTCTTTTCTGAAAAGTCACCGTCCTTTCCAAATTCTATCTCCTGCAAACCATGAACATACATTATGCTCAACTTCAATTTTCAGACTTGTATCATGTGGAGTGCAACCATGAGGCCTAACTGAAGAGCCATTCCTTCAAGATCATGCTCAACTTCAATTTTCAGACTTGTATCATGTGGAACACCAAGAGTGCAACCATGAGGCCTAACTGAAGAGCTGGCAGGCAGAGCAGAAGCTTGACGCTGGTATTCCATCAAAGTGTTGAAAATCTTAAACCCCGAGTCTGATTTACTGCTGTGTGCCCCCCAAAAAAAGCGACCCAAGCCAGCGTGAAAATGTTCATTTTTGCTGCTGCTGCCAGCCATTTCGCTCCAGTACACTGTGGCCCCGTTAAAGCACCAAGTTAACCGCCCTGTCGGAACAAAACAGCTGGGAAAGGAACCGGAGGTGTAACTACTTTCTTTTCTAGTGGCAAGAATCTGTGTGTGTGTGTGTGTGTGTGTGTGTGTGTGTGTGTGTGTGTGTGTGTTGTGTGTTGTGTGTGTGTGTGTGTGTGTGTTTGTGTGTGTG